AAATATCTAAAAATCTTATTTGTAGAGTTTCTCCGTTCCTGCCAACACTTTCAACTGGAACTCAAAAAAAAACACGTTTTCCCATTCTTTGTTGTCGAATAAAAATTATTCTCACAAAAAATGGTGTGCTCATTTTATGCGTCCATGTTTCAAGTACACGCTTGAACAACTTGCATCAATAAAACCCGACTTTACAATAATTTCGGGGAAATTTGCTAATATGATTTAGACTACAAACTATATCACGAGCTGTAACTCCTAAAAAACTGTATATGGGGAAACTTACCTACTAAAGGCCGAAGAAGGCGGATACCAAAAGTCAGACCATACACCATAAAGAAGAGAATAGATGATTTCACCTACCACATCTGAAAGGTTCATCATGGAACACCCAGAGTCGTAAACTTTCACAGACTTTCACCGTATGTCGGAGACCACAACGACGATCAACGGCTTAAGGAAGTGTAAACTAATAGCCTATAGAAACAACGCGAAAGTATGGTTTGGGTTCACCAAGAAAGTACTCCTTGGTGCACTGCGCTCCCGAACACTTGCAAGGCGGCAAGAGGCTTAGCCAGAAGACTCCTGGAGACGTTCTAGCACATTTAAGGGCCGTATCGTCAATCGTTCCTAAAATTGTTGGATATCTTTATGGCCTCTTTGATTGTCATAGTCGTTTCTCTACGAGTATTTCAGACAGGCTGGGCTATTTTAGATTTGTACTGTTCCGTATCAGCGTAGCGCTCTCCTAATGTGCGGCTATGTTTTCTTTTTGGATTGTAGAAAATTTCAGGCGGATATAACAGATGATATAAATCAGAACCATGAACAATTTGATGCAAATAGATATTTATAATATAACCTCAAAATAGAGCGCTGACACGGAACAGTACAAAACTATGAAAATCAAGAAGGCTATAACCTACAATTGTAGGAACGTCTGAAGATTTGACAATAAGAGTTGAAAGCTAAGAGTTCATTAGTGGGAAAAGGCATAAGCATGCAAAATGCATCATAATAGGGTCTTCTATTTAGAAACTAAGCCTACGTCCCGGCATATAGCTATACTCTAATGTGCAACATCCAGAAATTGACCATATCTAGGTTAGACTGCGAAGCAGTCGCCCTGGATGAAAATCGTGCAAAGCATGCTGGATGGCATTTTCCAGGTCGTGACCATGCAACACACAAAAGCCACTTCCTTCGATACTACTATTACTATATTAATTTGATAATGGTGTTCATGGAAAGACACTAATGATGAGGGGATAGTTCGCGAGAACACTGTGTATGAACTGGCTGGAATGGTTCGAAATAGTCATGAAAACGTGTTATTTTTGAAGATACAAAATGCTTGTAATACGAAACTATATTGATTTGTCATCGAAATGTTTTGACATTAAGACGTATGTTGAATAGCTAGGAATCTATTTCTTGAGTATGGTGCTTTTGGTTGAGCAACTTTATAATGCGCGCCACAATTACTCTGTAAAAATGCGGCGCGACTTTTTTTAAAAATCGCAACTCTAAGATTTTTTGTTCCCTCAAGGACCCACATTCTTGAAAATGAGGGAGTAGAATCACTGAGATAAAGTCCCTGTCGTTCAGGGAGCTGTATTTCGGAACAATGATAAAATAGTCGCTCCCAGAGATTTCTCGTGACAGAAAGTGCATAAGCATCACCGTTGTGCACACAGAGCATGCTGAACATTAAACGGTAATTTAATCCACAATCTACAGGTGGATACATTTTCTAAAATATTCTTTTTTTTTATAAAAGTGCTGCTCTCAGGTGAGTAATACACTGTTATTTTCAATAAAGATTCGAGCAGGGTTTAAAAGCTCCTCTCCGATTGGCCAATTTTCGACGCAGTTTGAAGAAAATGCTTTCTAATTGTTGATTCGGATCATAGGTTTTGATCTCCGGATCAACTGAAAATATATGTTTTTGATTTATTATGGGATTAAAGGCCCTTCTTGCACAAATCGTATACTTCTTTGCGAGTTTGAGAGATATTTTAGAAAAAATCGACTAAATTCATTAGATCCATTACTAGAAGGATGCCCTTTCATTGGTCCATTATGATACGGATCAAGAATTTCGATTTCCTGTTAGTGATATCGGGCCTACATGCCCCATTGCTAAGATACAGGCTATTGTTAATTTCGACGTCACTGATGAAACTGAATAAGGACATAACATGGATATTTCTGAAATGCTATGGCGAGATAAAATTACTCCTTTCTATCAATAAAAAGTAGACAGGAAGGTTTTTTATACGGATTTTTCCTCAAATTTTCCATCCTGTCCATAAGGGGTACCCAGTCTGAGTAAAATGTCTCGGTGGCGTAGAAAAAAATCTTTTTTCTTCTGTACTGACTCAAGGTCTTCCGATTTATATATCATTATAACACGAGATAAATGATTCCAGCCGACTAGCTGAGCTATCTCAAATTTCCTATCTGAGGGAAATTGCACATTGCGCGAACTGATATTCAATTATGCTACTCTGTCGAACACATATGACGTGACTCGTAGCATTTCTTCAATACCTTTCTACGACAATTTTAGCGCAAATTGTGGACAATGTATTTCCAGCTACTGCAATGTTTTGTATAGAAGATCAACAAAAGCTTAAATCACGCACCCACGACAGTAACAAGCTTAGTAGTATGATACTTTTACGTAACAAATTTTTCGAAGTGAGACAGAATTAAAAATTTTATGTCTATGAGCTTACAAAAGAAGTCTGCATAGAGACGCAGATTGTATATGTAAGTGTTATCGGTAGTTTTACCGTAATCCGCCAAAATTGATGAAAAGAGCCTTCACCGAACACTGAACAATCAATAACAACCAGTGATAGCTTCTAATAGGTAGAGTATTTCGCTTTTCGTGCAAGAAGTTTCAGGTTCGAAAGTCACGCCGTCTGCTAAAAATTTTCTATAACAGTACATTTCATCAGTAGGACCATGTATTCGTTGAACACTTGCATCACCACCCACGTACCTGCCAAAATTACCCACACGTCAAGGATGCGCCTCTTTGGCACGATCGATAAGTCACCGACATAATAGGTGTGGTCCACACACCAAAGGATACCTCTTTTTTCCACGATCACTTAAATGTCCGGGCCTCTAGGAATACATCGCAGCAACTTGAAATTTTCAGTGCCGCTATTCGTAATACTGTACGGCAAACCTGGAAAAAAATGGGTCTCATGCCTTACACAAATATTCACCAGTTTGCAGGCTGTTTTTTTTATTTTTGTCTGTAACCTTTTAAACAAATTTGGCTTATGAATGCCATAGCTGAGTTTAATGTAAATCTTACCTTGCGGCACAACAAAGGTGTTTTCTGGGCCGATCATTCTGCTGTCGTCACCTACTCGGACAACAGCTCTCCCAGAGAGTACGAGATAGCCCTAGAAAAACCAAAAATCAAATTCCACCATCTCGGAAAGGATACGGATACGTTGCATGAATGTATGAGTGTTTATGGTTTTCTTTTTAACTATGAAAAATGAGACGTAGTCTGGTAGTTCAAATTACTTAATCTAAACCAATACACGTATAGCTGCCACTATATTATGGATATAATGACATTGGTATTGAATGGCTAAAAAGCGTAATGAAGAGATGGTGTAAAAACTGTAGGGATGCACTAAGTACTTGGTTTGTATCCGGTACTCGGCCCATTTTACCAAGTACCGGGTTTCGCCGACTATTAAATTACTCGGCCGGACAATTACTCGATATGAATGCAAGTCATATAACTAGTGTGAATCAAAGTAACGCATTTGAGAGGTGCAGTCTTAGCTCATCTCTGGAAAAAATAGCGGACCATCAAAAATTGTTAAGGTTAATGCACATTTTTGCAGGATTCAGTTGCTTTCTTACTAACACTCAATGGACAACTAAACCCCAGAAAACAACCAAAACGTAAAGAACTAAAAGATATATAAAAAATCGCGTCAAGTAGGTTGACTGCACTTGCTAATACCGGGTTTACATGCAGCCCACTTCCTCGGCAGTGAGCAGGGAATTGGGCAGCGCGAGTATGTAAATACGCAGCTCGCATTGCCAATTCTCATGCCGCTGCCGCATGCTCCCTTCGTTCGCGGTTTTTTGGACGGGAAGCAGCACGAGCGGCAGGGACCGTTTACATGCTGTCCGCTGTACCAACAGTCAGTCCTGTCCTTACCACTTGGACGCAGGGTATCTTAACCTAATTTATTCCTTTTTTGGCAAATTATTCGTTTTAAAATACACCTGGACCATGATTGAGTGGAGCAATGATCAAGTATTGTAGTTTTTAGAACTATGTACTACTAAAAGATTATTATTATTATGAGATTATAATGATCACAAAAAAACATAAATTACATGATGCGTGGACAAGAATAAGAGAAGGATTGAAAAACATCCCAATACAAGAGCTTAAGTGAAAAAAAAATCGCTAATGGTAACATTTCCGCCGCTTTAAAAAAGAAAATCGCTTCGATTAGGTTAAGGAGTGGGTGCAGATGTGGTGTGTCCGCCCATTTGGTTTGCATTTGATGTAATGGAAAGTTTTTTTGAAGCAGTTTATGGTAGGTTAGAAGGGTGGCTACATGTCACTTGCTCCAAATCCTGCCGTGGAATTATTTACGGCAGGACAGTGGGCCACGGCATGTAAACCCGGCATAAGCAACACAGTTATCAGTACATACGGAATTACTATATGTTCAGCACAAACTAGACCCCGAGAAAAAAGTCAGTCAAACAGGTCCATACAATTGAGTCCATGGATATGACTGGCACGGGTTAAATGGCGGCGTCACATTTTGCATTGGATTCTACAGAGTCGCGAAATCATAGAACTAAATATTTAGCTGTCATCATTCATTACCAGTGTGACCACTGTCATCATTCGACTGTCAATATGTTAGCACTGCCATTTCGCATTTTCACTATTTTTTCAAACAAAGGTACGCGAAAAGGAATAACTGAAAGAAGCAATGGTGATTTGGTAAAATTATAGGTAAGTAGTTGACATATTTTATTTTGCTGTAGCATCTAAAAACATTCCCAGAAATGTATTTACTATAGTCACAGGCACGGAAGGAAAATCGGGGTCGGGGCTCAAAGTATAGAGCTCACCAACAGATGCTCATTGAATACCACAATATAGGGTCGAACTATTATGCTTTAGCGCATATAGCAAATATTTTATTTTCTGATTTTTGATGTTTTTTAACAGAGTTTACACACTTTTCACAGTTCAACCCGAACTTAAACGCAACTTAAAGCGAGATTAGCGAGATGAAAGAAAACACTTGTTCACGCTTATGATGGTATATTGCAACTACTCTGACATTACAGAGTGACATGCACATAGTGGACAAACACAGTAGTAACGACATATGACACTAGATGTCGCTACTTTGACCAATTTTAAATATATAACAGCTACAGTAAACTTTTGGTATACTTATTCACAACACTCCCACTTAACAAAAGTTTACTAATGGTTCTCTAAAACCTTTTAAAATATCTGTCATGCACAACTTAACTTAAACCTAAACCCTTTACAAACTTTGAATTCTTAACATTTTGTAATGGTTTCGTTAAAACATCTGCAACCATTTCGTTAGTAGGTGTATACATTAATTTCACTTTACCTTCTAACACAATATCTCGCAAGAAATGGTACCTTATATCTATGTGCTTTGACCTATCATGGAACATTGGATTGCTAGCAAGCTTCTGAGCACTTTGATTATCATTATGAATCTCAATACAATCCAATTTTCCAGTTAACTCGCTCAACAAATTCCTCAGATATATGGCCTCTTTTGCTGCCTCGCTTAGAGCCATATACTCTGCCTCAGTTGTCGACAAAGCAACAGTACGTTGTTTACAGCTTTTCCATGAAACTGAACCCCCTGAATATTTAAATACATAACCAGTAAATGACTTTCTGTCTTGCTTATTGGACCCCCAATCTGCATCTGCAAAACCTGTCAAATTTAAATTATCCTTAAAAAATTTCATAGACAAGCTCTTTGTACCCTTTAAATAACGAAGTAAACGCTTTGCAGATTGCCAATGAACTTTAGTGTATGAGTTATTATACTGACTTAATAAGCTCACAGCATGAGAAATATCAGGTCTGGTCATTACCGAAAGGTACATTAAACTTCCAATAAGCTCTTGATATGGAACTTTTGGATCACAAATTTCACCACTGATATCGCTCAAGTTGATACTACTGTCAAGCGGAGTACTTACTACTTTGCTATCTGACATACCAAAACGACATAAAAGTTCATTAATATACAATTCTTGATCAATTGACAAACAATTTTTCGAATAATCCCTAGTAATTCTTATACCTAAACATTGTTTTGCCTCTCCTAAATTCTTAATTTTAAACTTTGAGTTTAAATGACCTTCAAGAAACTTCATTTCATTGTCATCAGACGAAAAACAGAAAAAATCGTCAACATAGAGAGCAACAATGGTTAACAAATTACTGTTATTCCTTTTAATGTACAAACAAGGCTCATATTTGGACTTAGAATAACCAATTTTTGACAAAACTTGGTCGACTTTTTCGTTCCAAGCACGACTAGATTGTTTTAATCCATAAACTGCTTTCTTCAATCTATACACTTTATTTTCTTTATCTTTAATGACAAAACCTTCAGGTTGCTGCATAAATACATTTTCTTTCAGAATACCATTCAAGAAAGCTGTTTTCACATCCAAGTGTAAAATTTTTAGATCTAGCCTAACAGACAAAGCAAGCAATAAACGAAAAGTTGAGTGCCTTACCACTGGGGCGAAGGTTTCAACATAGTCCACACCCTCTCTCTGTGTGAAACCTTTAGCCACAAGCCTAGCTCTATACCGGTTATGGCTTTCATTATCACTCTTCACTTTATATACCCACTTGCACTGCACCACTGTACCAACTTCTGGCGGATCTACTAATTCCCAAGTGTCATTATCGATAAATGACTGTATTTCTTCTGACATAGCTTCTTTCCACTTCTGCCCATCTGGCCTTGAAAGAGCCTCAGTCACTGATGTAGGGATACTCGAGTCATAGACTTCACCCTTGCTGTTAACACCTCCAAAATATGTCACAAAATCTTGAAAATTCTTCTTCTTGATCTGTCTTTGGGATCTTCTTGGAGTTACTTGTTCACCATTATCAAACAAGTCATGGCACTGACCTTCAGGCACATATTCATCATCATCCGAGAAGTATACATCATCTTCAGAAGATTCATCATCTGAATACATGGGATTCTGCTCTCCCACTGAATCTGGAACTTCCCTTTGCTTATCTGGAACACTATCCGGCAACACTGTACTTGGAATTTCCAAACTTGGTTTCTCTATGATTGTTACATCACGGTTTACTATGACTTTCCTTGTTCTGGGGTTAAAACACCTATATCCTTTGGTAGTTTCATCGTACCCAACAAGCACATGCTTCACTGACTTCTCGTCCCACTTGTTCCTACTGACCTTCGGAACATGAACCATGGCGGTACTCCCATATACCCTAAGATGACTAAGATTTGGTTTCTTACCTGTCCAAATCTCATATGGTGTCATTGAAAGCTTTGAACATGCTGAACGGTTTTTCAGGTAACAAGCAGTATTACACGCTTCCGCCCATAATGCCTTGGTCAAGCTCTCATCAAATAAAAGACACTTAGCCTTCTCCACAATGGTCCGGTTGAACCTCTCAGCCATCCCATTTTGCTGCGGAGTGTGACTGCTCGAAGTCTGGTGTATGATGCCTGAATTCTTTAAAAAACTATCCATTTCTCTATTACAGAATTCCCCACCATTATCGCTTCGCAAAATCTTAATCTTAACATTCTGTTGATTCTCAACTAATGATTTAAATTGCTTAAACTTATCAAAAGTTTCATCTTTTGTCTTCAGGAAATATATAAAGCACATTCTGCTGTAATCATCTATAAATGTCAGGAAATATTTAGCTCCACCAATAGATGTTGTTTCCATAGGACCACAAATGTCGCTATGAATGACCTCTAGCAGTTGCTGTGCTCGACTGCCTTCTTTGGGAAAAGGTAAACGGGCTTGCTTGCCCCTACAGCATACCTCACAACTCCCAATGCTTGTACCATTACAGATAAGACCATCAACCAACTTGGCTGTCTTATTCAGGTAGCTGTCATTAATGTGACCTAAACGTTGATGCCATAAATTGCTACTTACAGCTTGAAAACACACTGGCTCCTCACAAACGTTCAACTTGTAAACGTTGTTATGTAGACTAGCAGTAGCTACTGATACACCAACTTTATTGTAAATATTGCATCCCTCTTCATGAAAACTTACTCTATTTCCATTATTGATTAACTGGCCTACTGATAATAAGTTAGTTGTTAAACCAGGAATATACTGTACACCTTCTAGTAAAATCTTGTGCTGTTCATTGGTCATTGTTTTGATCTCAACATCACCTGCACATTCCACAACAACTTTCGATTTGTTAGCCATTACAATATCAGGTAAGTCAGGCTTTCTCCTGTTTTTTAACCACTGGCTATTGGCAGTTAAATGCTTGCTGGCACCACTATCAACATACCAATCTGTGACCTTAAAATCACCTGTTGTAAACACGGCACTAAATCCTCCTTCAAGTCTGTTATTGTTAGGGCATTTTGACATAAAATGTCCTGTCTTTTTGCACTTGTAACACACAATATTACTCAGATCCTTTTTATTATGTCCATTTCCAAAACCACTGTTTGAACTTGACCTCGATTGAACCCCGAAATCATCTGTGTTTGTTGACATTCCCGCTTGGCTAGCACCAGCTGATTTTCCTTTGAAATTCGTCCTACTAGCGCCACCTCGCGACTGTTTCCGAAAACTCGGTTTCTTGGCGGAGAATGCACCTGCATTTCCATTACCACTAGCGCCATCTGTCTGCATATCCAATAACTTGGTCTTTATTGAATCTGTGGTTATGCAGATTCCTGAGTGCTCGACGGCCATGATCATTGGTGCGTACTTGTCTGGAAGACCGGCCAGCAGCAATGATCCTACCCACTCCTCGTCTATTTTGAAACCTGTTCTGCGTAACTTTTGGGAAGTCTCAACAATCTGGTTTATGTACGACTCCATACTATCATGATTCTCTAATCTTGCCGATATGAGTGTACGTAAAAGTCCAATCTTTCGCATGAAACCACTGTCATCATATAAACGTTTGAGACTGGTCCATACTTCTTGTGCAGTCGTTAAATCTTTGACATGCGGGAACAAAGATGGATCGATGGTTAATACTAGCTTGGCCTTTGCTTTTGCTAGGGTCGTTGTGTCGGTCTCGGTACCTTCGATGCATTTGTTTAAGCCCTCTAGCACAAACACATTCTCGACGGCAAACGCCCATTCATCATAATTCTCACGGCCTAAAAGCCTTGGCACACTCGTCAGGTAGTTGACGGCCATATTTGTTCTGTGAGAAACACTTGCGTCACGACAGTTTCTTTCAACGTCTCGATTCACTAAAGTTTCGCTGCTGGGTGTCCTACTGTGGGTCTGGGCCCATAACCTGATGTTTTTTAACAGAGTTTACACACTTTTCACAGTTCAACCCGAACTTAAACGCAACTTAAAGCGAGATTAGCGAGATGAAAGAAAACACTTGTTCACGCTTATGATGGTATATTGCAACTACTCTGACATTACAGAGTGACATGCACATAGTGGACAAACACAGTAGTAACGACATATGACACTAGATGTCGCTACTTTGACCAATTTTAAATATATAACAGCTACAGTAAACTTTTGGTATACTTATTCACAACAATTTTAACATGAAAGATTAGGATGTGACTTGTACGAAAATTATATTTTTTTCTTCAAGGAACCCTCTGCTTGCCATTTTATAGAACTTCAAAAAGTTGCGTTTTGGATGGTAGTACCGTGGTATAGAATACTGCTTTATAAGCTGGTTTTTTCTTGTTTGCACAAAAGAATGCTCAACATTATATGAATATAACATAAACTGTATATTACTGTGACTCTGTTCATCGCTTCAATGGAATTTTGCATTATTTTAATGATGAAAAAAGAACATTGTTAAGTAGTCATTTAATTTATGTCAGATAAATATTCCCATCACTATACCACCATAACTATCATAATTTCTGCATCTAGTTGCGATGTTGCCAAATCATGGATGAACGTAGATATATACGTTGATTTGGTTTGTCAAATTCTTACTTATATACTAGCGCATAAATGTGCAATGGGCACAGGATTGCCATGCAACTGCAATTTAGAGGTGTGAGCAGCAGGTGCTACTGTACTAAATAGTTGACATCGTGTCCTACGATAGCGTCAACTAAATACAGTTTTTTCATAAAAATGCTTCGGTTATTGTTTTTTTTTCTATAGTATACAAGGTCAGTGGATTTAACGGCTCCTGACTTTTTTTATGGGGATTCTTGAAAAGTAGGGTTTATGAAAACAAACCAAATACAGTAGAGCAGCTGAAGAACAATATTACGGAAGCGATTGGCAATATTCCTCCCGAAACCTACCAAAAAGTGATGGAAAATGTAATCAAGAGTGCGCAGGTTGGCGCGGCTTCTAGAGGCGGACATTTGTCTGATAGTATTTTTCATACATCATTTCTGAGTTTCAATACAAGATTAGGATAAAAAAATGGACGTATTTTATTTCATTTCACAAATATTCAAGATACAAACCAGTCAGTTACATATCGACCACCCTGTAGTTATAATCTATTTACTTTTTGTATGTATAATAATAATAATGTTTATTTGCAACATACAGTTAGGTGAAAATAGTAGCAAAGTACATTTAAATGAGATATGTTACAAAAAAGGGCTGAAGTCATTTAAAAATGATACAAGTTCAGCCCTTTACCTATTACACATTCATATATATATATATATATATATATATATTTGCAGTAAATATTGGGATAACTTATTATAAAACAAGACATTTAACAATAAATTAAGACTTATATTTTACAAATAACCTCATTTTTTATCTTTCCCCAAAAAAGTACAACTTGGCAACAATGGACATCATTTATCTTATCTGTCAAGAAATGAACGTTATAAAATTGCCATTGAGAATTGTTTGTACTTTCAGATATTCCCTATAAACGCAAAAACTTTGATCTCATTGAAAATACGAGAAACAAAATGCTTAAGGAATTTGTTAAAAAATCTCAATACAACATCTCTACACAGTTTACCAAGTAAATACCATCATTTACGGTACTAGTTTTGAACCTTTCTCTTGCAAAAAACGATTTTTAATAGTTTCACCTTAAGAAAGTTATCATTTCTGCCGATTTCTTCAATTTTTTCCGAAAAAAAAAACAAGAATTTCGGCCTTTATTCGCTAAAGTATAGTCTTAGGTATGTATTTGGAACTGTCATTTCAGCTTATTATAAGGCTAATTTTTAACCTTTTTCTTAAAAAAACTTAAAAAACCATGTTTTACAGTTTCACATCTATTTTCCTTAGTGATTTATTAATAAAATTTAATAAATAAACAGTATTCTATTCTAGAGTATTAGCAGCAAAAATGCAACTTTGAAGTTCTATGAAAAATGAAGAAAAAATGATATTTTCGCAAAAGTTACATCCTAGTCTTTCATTTTAAAATAAGAAATGAAATATGTATATGCGATATGCGCCAGAGTGTCTTACCCAAAATAGTGTGAAAAAACTGCATGAACACATCTGCCTGTAAGGTAACTCAAACCTTTGCAGAAATGCGTGTATTAAATAACAGCACCACCTAGAGTTTAGGTTCAGCTGCACTGAAGATAACCGCGCTAAAGATGTACCTCCCAAAACTACCTTCACTGACTCCCGGTTATACTGCTCTATAAGTACTGCTGTCCCAGTTCTGGTTTTTAATAATGCTATTTTTTCCAGATCCTGGAGTGTTTCCAGTCAAACTGGATTGAGTTGTCCTTCTTTCCGTATTTAAATTTTGTGGAGCAGCAGCGACCGGTAGGTATGTGATTCGTCTGCTGATGATATCATTCTAAGGTATAATGTACAGAGAAATCTAGGATGTGTGAAATATGTCTAATAGGTGCGTATAATTATATCAACCTCCTATAACTTGAGAAGTACCGCTCGAATTTCGATGAAATTTTTCAGCCTATCCTGACCATTTTCAGACAAATATTTGTAGGGGTGCGAGTACAATGTGTACGAGGGAGAAAAACGAGAAGAGTGTATAGGAACATATGTTATAAAGAGAATAGAAGCCGGTTGACCAGCGAAGGTCATCATTACGTTGCCTAGCAACGGTGACGAAGAAGGTCGTTCAATCTGCCACGATGCCAGCATGTTACACCAGTTCCTTGGATTAAGATGCATACTGAAAATATAAATAATGGTTTTATTCTGAGCGTACACATTTTTGAATTGTGAATTGTGTCGAATCTGTTTGGGATCGATTCCGGTATTAACGGCGCTCCACTTTAGGTCGAAATGAAAGGTCAGGATCGCCACAACTTCTGCAACATTGCATGAGTGGTTCGCTTGACAACACCGTATCTCATACACTCCGTGGCGATTTTTGCTATATTGCCGAACCTACCAATTTTTCGGTATTTCTACCAGAATGAGATCTTATTTATAATTCAGATGTCCCAGATGTTTTACCGAAAAAGGGGTAAGAAACAAAAATAAAGTTAAATAAATGAAGTGTATGTAGTGTTTGCAGTTGTATGATCCATACCAGTCATATATGAGCGTACATTTAGGTTGTCTGCAATTATGAGCGCACAGCCCTTATTCCGCTCTCACGATATTGGTTTTTGTGCGTACATCAGGTACAGTCATTACCGCATGAGAGGACAAGCAAGAATGAAAACTGTATTTAATTGAAAGGGGTGAAACAAAAAAATATTCAGAATCTTAGAAGCAAGGATTGCATCATTGGTTCTCTTGACAACACCTCGCCTTGTACATTCCAAGACACCTTCATGATAGACCAGAAGCTTCTTTTTTCAAACAAGTAGTTGTACACCGCTATGCCAACCACTCTTGTTAACGACTTCACAACAAACGCTGAATTTCATATTTTCGTTTATGGCCGCTTGAACGAAGGGTTTTTCAATACGTAATAAAACAAGTGGTGAACGATGTATTAACGAGATCCCTTTTCATTTGAAATTCTATTGTATGGGAACTGGATTCGGACAGTATCTCGGATTCAAGCAGTTCACATTTTAGTAACCCTACTGCATGCCACCATCACAGTTCTCGGAATATATATATATATATATATATATATATATATATATATATATATATATATATATAGGTGAAAAATTAAAGCTTCCGCCTTTTGTTGGGTACTTCGACAAAATTTAAGCAAAGAGGACTCTTTATACTTTTTTAATTCTCTCTAGCTTTCAATGGACTTTGACATCATCATCAGGAGAGTAGTATGTGAGGATGTTGCTAATTGTTGTTTACGTATAGGATGAGGGAAACGTCCAGTAACATGGTGACAAATTAAAAATTATTTAAAAACATTGTTTTTTCAATAATTTTTAATCTGTTTTTAACTTGTTCTTGTCATATTTTATATAATTTTGACCATTGTACCATCTATCCAGCTCTCACCATGTTACTGGACGTTTCCCTCATCCTATACGTAAACAACAATTAGCAACATCCTCACATACTACTCTCCTGATGATGGCAAAGTCCATTGAAAGCTAGAGAGAATTAAAAAAGTATAAAGAGTCCTCTTTGCTTAAATTTTGTCGAAGTACCCAACAAAAGGCGGAATATATATATATATATATATATATCGAAGCAGCCACGCAGGCAGAAGCCTAAATGCCGGAACACCGCAACTACTATGATGATCCCAAAGAAATTTTATTTTTCCACAATCTCGACACCCTCGGGACAAAGGACCGCTCGTATCGACCAATTCTGGATGTACGAAGTTCGATACGGTTAGGATGGGATGTTTTTAAATAATTTTTAATCTGTTTTTAACTTGTTCTTGTCATATTTTATATAATTTTGACCATTGTACCATGTATCCAGCTCTCACCATGTTACTGGACGTTTCCCTCATCCTATACGTAAATAACAATTAGCAACATCCTCACATACTACTCTCCTGATGATGATAGCAAAGTCCACTGAAAGCTAGAGAGAATTAAAAAAGTATAAAGAGTCCTCTTTGCTTAAATTTTGTCGAAGTACCCAACAAAAGGCGGAAGCTTTAATTGTTCACCTAACTGGTCTAGACGACAATGACCACGTCTCAAGTTATATATATATATAAGGACTCTTTAAGTTACCACGTCTTTGAAACGGCTTCTAGGGCAAATTTTCTATGTACCTCATGTATGAAGATGAACTCTGATGTGAAATCTCGGACCCGATATGAATAGCCGGATCCACCCCAGACGAACCAACTTGGGATTCCCGATCCGAGATTCGGAGGCATGAATCACGAATCGTACTTGTCTGACGGTTTGAATTTTCTTCCACACCAAACGCTCCTGTGGAGAGCGTTCCTGCCTCGCGCGATCGGAGCACATTGGATCGTCCAGTGTGGATCTGGCTAATCTGCTGTCAAGAATGGTGGTTAATATCTGAATTCATAAACTAGACATCTAAATAACCTTTGATGTCATTCTCCAGGTCATCTTTGAAGTGGTCGACAAATTGGTTTTTGAATAACAAAGTTGTCTTAAAACCTTCGTTCCAAAAAATATTTGGTACACGTTTTCGGGGTATTCGTGTACTTTTCCAGGTTGATTGAGCCATTTACGACCGCTTGACCTCATGTATGGAAATGCATTCTGATGTGAAATCGCGCGCTCGACATGAGTCTGCTGCTAGAAATAGTGGTTGCTATATGAATTTACAAAGTTGACCTCCAAATGACCCCTGAGATCAACGACTCTCGGCGACGGAATAGGTTCTCCTGCATTTGGAAACACTAAGATCTCTAAAAGCTGTTCTATTTCGTATTTGGTCATTCCTTTAAATGGAACCGTCAGTAGATGTAACAGATTTTCAAAATGAGTTTCATATACACTCGGGAACAAAAAGTGTATCTGATACTATGGTACAATAAGGCCAGAAGTGCAAGAGCTGTCGTGGCTGCATCAACTCTTGTCGACATGAAGCAAGCAGCGGACAAGGTTGCCGTGTTTGTGATTATGTCGAAGGGCCATTTCAAAGAGAGGATCCTCAACCTTCTTCGAATAATTCCGTATCAGAAGTCGGTGACTTGGTCAGTACAGCCAGGCGTCTTTTGAGGAAACATGGCTATGAGCCATTTAAAAACAAAAATAAGCATGAGATTTTTCCCGCTGATCATACCAGGAGAATGGAGTTTTGTCATGCCATGAGACAAATCATTGACAATGATGACCAATTTCTCAGAAATATATTGTCCAGCTTTTCTCTCATGGACGTATCATATACCCCAAAATCTGAGTGATTGGTTAAGGGAAAACACACATTCAAGTTTACCATTAAGGACGCATCCCGAAAAAGTTTGTATGTTTGGGGGTATTTTAGGTCCACCATTTTTCTTCTTTAATGGTACCTTAAATTCCTCGCGTTATTTGAAACTGCTTCAACACGAATTATCCCGACTGCACGAAGCACGGGCATCAACCTTGATGATATTTGGTTTCAACAAGATGGCTCTCCTGCTCATAACGCGAGCGAGGTACCAGGAATTTTTGGAAACAATTTTTCCCGGACGCCAGATCTCTACATACACATGGCAACATACAACGGTCGGCGAGAGCTCCTGGCTTGGCGCTTAATGATTTATTTTTGTGGATATGTGAAGACTCGCACGGTTACCCCCTTGCAAAGGCTGCCCACTTTGGAGGAGTTGTGGCTGAAAATAATAGAAGCATGCCGTTTGGTGACTCCAACCATATTAGTAAATGTTCACACAGGCTTCTACAATAGGTTACAGTTAATATTTTGTTTTCATTTTGGTTAGAATTGTTTATCTACTTCCATTTTGATGCAACTTAGTGTTTTAATTTCTTTTAGCATTATGTTTGATTTCCACCGATAGTGACAAAATCAAGACATCCTAAGTTACCGTTACATTTTACGACAGCACTGCGGTCGAGAAATTCAACAAATAACGTTACACAATACAAACTATCACTTGGTACTGAGCAAAATCGCTCAACCCTGATCAAGGAGGTGAAAATCTTGCCTTCGAATGTACAAGATACGGTGATGTCAAACGAATCAATGATGCAATGTTGTAGAATTTGTGGCAATCTTGAACTTTCATATCTACCCATAATAGGACGCCGTTAGGGCCGATTTGGAATAGATCCTAAACAGATTCGACACAATTCACATTCAAAAATGTGTATGCTCAAAATAAAACCATTATTTGGGCGTAAAGAAAAAACTACCGCATATTTGCAATATGCATCTTAATTCAAGGAACTGCTGTAACATTGACAACGCAGCAGATGCATGTATTTTGGCGTCCGTGTTGCTAGGCAACGTGGCGATGAGCATCGCTATCTAACCGGCTTCCGTCTCTTCTTAACATTGTGCTTATACATACTTATCGCGTTTCTCCCACGTACACATTGAACTCGCGCCGGTCAGCCAATTTTGAATCTCACCGTATACGCTTGTTTTGTCTTTGCTCAATTACTGTGACTCAGTGTATGGTCCTTGCTTAACAAAAAACGATACTGACCGGATACAGCGTGTTCAAAAATCTTGTCTCAGGTTTATCTTTGGAGTTAGAAAATTTGAACCTGTTTCCTACAAGTTATCTGAAGGAGGCTGGTTAAACATACAGGGAAGGACAAACCTGCACTCTGCACTAATTTTTCATAAGATTATTTTATATAGAACTCCGCCGCACTTTTAAAATTACATTCCGTAGTGATGTTCACAATGTCAATGTCCTGTTCAGAGGTCTCATTTCTCAACCACCTCATCGTACTGCAATGTTCAGTAGATCATTTTCACGCTCTGTGTATCGCTTGTACAACCACGTTCCCACAGGCTTTAAGTCCATGCCAGTGTCAGCTTTCAAAAGAAATTTTAAGAAATTTTTTTGGAGCAATAGTTTTGAGTCTCTCCTGTGTTGTCCTTC